ATATATTTTGAATTAATTTATTATTTTAAATATCTTATTTATACTCAAACTTTTTCGAATTATTTTGAAATATCTTACGTTATTTTGCATAATTTCTTACATAATATTTCATAATATCTTACGTAATATTTCGTAATCTTATATTTCACAATATTTCACAATATTTCGCAATATTTTACATAATATTACGTCTTTTTTATGGTTCATAAATTATTTCAAAATATTTCGCTCTATTAATTTTGCTGATATACTAAAGAGAACTATAGTTCGATTTTTACTTGCTTCTAGTAAATGAGAAAATAATCTCTTTGAACAATAAAGAATAACAGATCCAATATGGTCTCCTAGCCTGCATAAGATCTAAAGAATTGTTGTTGGAAAGAACCCTCCTATGCCTGTTTTATATTACTTAGATGAGTCGGGACCTCAACGTCTCTTTGTAAGAAAACAATTAATGCATATTAAAAAAGAGCCTATGTTACCTCCTAGGTGGGTACTGGAAATAACTGAATACATATAAAGCACTCCTTATAAAAGTTTCTAAGTCTACTACACAGTAAGGTATTGTAATAAGGATTATTTCTTCTCTATAACATAATGCTCTTTTTTCCCAATCACGCCAAATTTGTGTATCTAGATTTATCTGATCTTGTGGGTGAAAAAAGGCACGATTTGGTAATGTTGATTACCACTATATTTGAAAGCCAAATCTAACTCTTTATTATATCCATCTAGATATAAACCCTCTAAAAATTTAGGTTTTTGAGATGGAAATTTTTATACAATAATTCTTCAAATATATATCGACATGTCCTTTCAAATATATAAGGACAACTATTGCACTACTTATAATTTCATTTCATATCTCTATAGGATGCTTCCCATCGATGCTGATTTTTACAAACCTATAAATAAATATTAGAGTTTGATCTAACTTTAGCCAAGCATTGTCCTTCACATCTTTTGGCATAGGTAAGGGCTTTATTATCAATCTCATTATAATCTTGCATTTTTATAATATGATCGAAGTCATATAATTTTTCAGATTTTTTTCTAATATATTTAATGTAAGAAAGCAGAATATAAAAACTATATAATAAAATTATCACAAAGTACTATATAACTGCTAAAAAATAATAGTGAAGCTGGTACTAAAGTACACATATCCTCATTGATTAAATCGAATTCCCAGATGAGACCTAGTCTCAAGGCTTTGCCTCTTCTAATAGGAAGGATAGAAGCAATATACTTAGAGATAACTTATGTCAAAAAATTTTGGACTACCAAAGTAAAATTATACTACACAAAAATTGCGTTTTGATAGGTCAGACGTGATATCTCTATTATATAAATTATTATTTTAATAGGTCATCAAAGATTTTTCAGTGAGTGAATACTATTTTGAATAAAATGCTAGCATTCTGAAATAGAGTGTGCATATAATATATAAGATTATGCCAATAGGAATAGCATTTTAAAAATTAGTAAGCCACCAAGAAATAATTATTACAGATAAAAGATATATAATAAAATTATGCTTTGATGGGATACCAAATAAATATTATTTTGAGTAAAAAAGTGGGTCACCAAGTCAAATAAAAAAAAGTGATTGATTGCGGGATATGTGGATCGGGTGAACATCTATTTAAACTTGGATATTATTTATATACAAAAAAATATTATTAATATCTTAGTAGATTGTAGCAATCTTAGCTAAAAATACTTAACAATATAGGTCAATAATATCATCAATATCTAATAGGTCATCTTTTTTACTACCATATGTAATTGATAATGCTTGAAGCCGGGTAATTTCAAGGCCAACCACCTTATACCATATTTTGGAAATCTATTAATTTTCAATACTCTTATTTCAAATCATATAGAAATATATATTGTTTCAGAATTGTAATTTTGGATTTGCATTTTTGCATCTGTATAATTAAATCATACATCATATTTCTATATTCTACATTAAGCTTGGACAATTTTGAAAGTAGATTCAATAATTTTGAACAAGTGGAGTTTGTAATTTTGTCTAATAAATACTAAATATATAATTGCTTGTATTGCCTGTATATAATGCATGCAGATAGCTATTATCTATCTACTATTATCACAATGTTTGTCATAGTACTTATTAAGTACTTGTTAAATAGTTAAAAAGTATTTAGTAGATACTTATTTAAGCTAAGGTGTGTTGGATAGTAATTATAAATACTTGTTATAAGTATTTATTAAATAATTAAAAATTAAGTACTTAATAAATATAAAATTTTATATTTAATAAGTACTAAAAATTTAAATTTGCTTTAAAAATATAAAATTTAAGTGTTTATTTAATATTGATATTTAGTTAATATAAGGTTTTAATTGGCAAACTTTGTAATAATAATATATTTAATTACATATGTATATATATATATATACAAACAAAAAATAAAGACTGATCCAATACTTTTCTATTTGATATATAAACAAAAACTTATAATATATACTTGATAACTAGTTAGCTATCTATATCAATTATTGAATTACAAAAATAACATAATACATATTAGTTTTTTTTTCAAGAGCAAGAAATTTAAAAAAAAAATTGAAAATAAGATAAGTTATTTAATATTAAAACTAATTATATAGTTTAATTTGACAAATAATGCTTTAAATATACAGCATTCAATTTTTCATAATAACAAATAAATTTTATTAATATTTATAAAACTCATATATGTAATTCAAATACTATTAATAAGAAAAGATAAATTATATAAAAGCAAATCATACATATTCTACTTGGTAGCTTGATTTTCAGCAGGATGTATTTCTAAATTAAAAAAATCTATCTCAGTGTCAAGATTATTTGTTTCTTCTTCAAACTTTTCATTGATTAACAATTTTTTCCATTCATTAATAATAGTATTAAAATTAGCCTCTAAAATAATATTCTCTTTCATACTATTATAAATAACATTTTTGAATTTTTGTTCTTAGTTATACAATAGAAAAGAAGCAGTTGAGATAGAAGTAGTTGAGATAGAAGCAGTCAAGATAGAGACAATTGGGAGTAGAGATAATCAGAATAAAGGCAATTAAGATAGAAGTAAAAATAGTTGAGGTAGAAGTATCAGAGAGAAGCAAAGTAGAAGAGTTGTTTGATTGAATATAGCTTGAATCAACTTTTTTTTTATGAGTATATAAAATTTTTGTATGAAGTTAACTTATTGCAACTACTTTTTTATCCTATAAAAAAAAAAATTAATATAATAACTTTATAACTTTAAAATAAAACTTGCTTTTAGTTTATTTTGCAATAATAAATGCAAAAAACTCATAGTACACTAGTCAAATATAAGAAATTCGACTACCGAATGAAATGGCCGATTCGTCCTGAATTCGATAGCCGAATATTTG